ATCTAAACTACCCAAACATCTGCTGGGAAGAGCAGTCAGCTAGGTCTGACCTCTCACGTAGGTTCCTAGCCAAGATACAGGACCTTCATATAACCCAGGAGGTACACAGTCCCACCAGGGGAAATGCCTGGTTGGACCTGGGCCTGGCCACAGGCGATGACCTGCTGAGGGGACTGCGGGTGCTCAACCACCTGGGTGACAGCAGTCATCGCCTACTGGAATTCAGCATCCAGCGCGGGGTGTCAAAGGCCTGCAGCCTTTGCAGCAAGGCAGCAGCCCTGGACTTCAGAAAGGAGGATTTCAATGAGGTAAGGAGACTAGTCAGGGAGTTGGGAGTCCAAGAAGAGTAGTTGTTCCTTAAGGAGACAATCCTCCAGGCCCAAAGGGTGACAATCCCCACATGGATCAAAGGGGGCAAGAAGGCTCAAAAGCCCCCATGGCCAACCAAGAGCATCCACAAATGTCTCAAAGCCAAAAAGGAGGCGTACACCCAGTGGAAGGGAGGGGCCATCACCAAGGAGGATTATACCTCCTTGGCTCGAGATTGTAGGGGGGCTGTTAGGAAGGCTAAGGCAGAAATGGAACTGGGACTAGTGACCCAGATCAAAGATAACAAGAAGTCCTCTTTTAAATACATAGGGGGTAAAAAGAAGGTACCAAGTAATGTGGGGCCTCTGCAGGACATGGTTGGTAATCTGGTGGTAGCACCAGATGACAAAGCTAATCTCTTTAACAGATTCTTTGTTTCCATTTTTCTGAGCAGGGACAGGGACATCTCCCCCACTGGGATTCCGGATGGACCCAGGGGAGGCACAGCCAGGCCCAGGGTCAGTAAGGACCTAGTCAGGGAACTTCTGGAGAGACTAGACATGTTCAAATCAGCAGGTCCTAATGATCTCCACCTCAGAGTGCCTAGGGAATTGGCAGATGTCATTGCAGGACCCCTGGCACAGCTTTACTAGCACTCATGGTGCTCCCCCAACTATTTCTGACTTTTCCTCTCCCTCTCTATTCCCTATAGATAAGTATAAATGAGCTCAGACTTAGGATAAGTTTAACATTTTTATTTTGGTAGCAAGTTTTTAGTTTTGTATATCGCTGTTTTATATTGTATAATTATTAGGTTTATGTTGATTTTTAGTGTTGCATATTGTATTATTATTATTTTCGTATTGATTTTTATTGTTTCATATGGATATTGTATGGTTTAGGCCTGTGTTTATAAGTGAACCAAAGTCATGTCAAGTTTTCATTTTATATGTCAAGCCTCCATCTTGTGTCCTCTGCCCAGGCATCCCCTGTGTTGCAACTGTTTGATTCATTGTACCCCTCCCATGTAAATTGGTTCCCGGATGAATGAGAGTGATTGGGAACGACTGAAATACAATAGTAGCAGGCCTCTACTGAATGGCCTGTAATGACCAGGCCATCACCTCACATTGATTCATCCAGGAACTACAGACCTCACCCACGAACAGAGACGAGAACCCAGCTTTTGAAAGACAAAAGACCCTGCAGAACCAGCAACTGTACCGTTGTACCCCACCATTACAGACACCCGAAACTGCACATCCCTGTATGAAGCACACATGCTCAGTACACCAGGAGCTGACCCTTGCCTGGGCATGCTTCCTGTCGGGGCAGTGAAGACAGACCCAGTCGGACTCCCTCTCCATCT